ATTGTTTATAAATAATTAAAATTGTATATTTGAAGTATAATATATTATAAATTTGGATATTACAGTACAATTTCATTTATGAAAACTGCATATAATAAATTGTTAAATCTTCATTTTATTTATATTACATGATAACATTATTCGACAATACGGTAACAGGCTTTATATAAGTTAAACGATAGATTTTTTTCTGCTTGGTTGTGTTTCTGTAAACAGCAATTGATAAGCAAACGTTTTAAATCCCGAAATAGAACCAACCCAATAAATTTAATTAAACAAACAAAATTAAATGCTAAAAGTTTAAGAAAAAATAAAATTAACAATAAAACATTTTCATAACTTAAATTAACTACTGTTTGGAAATACATTTCACTCTTATATGATAAATCGTATTATGTATAATTTCTAATCTCAGAAATGTTATTGTTAGAGATGTAAAAATAATGGTATTTTTTACTTCGGAGAAAAGTATCAAGTAAAAAACTAGTTTTTAAATAACGATATTTTTGACCAAATTACATAAAATTTATAAAAAAATCTAGTTATTTCAATATAATTATTTGAACGACAAATATTTTATATTTACAAGCTAAATAAGTGATGTTATTAATTCAAATAATACTTTATAAGCATAATAGACACTATTTTATTGCATATTGATTATAATTGTACTCTATATTTTGATTATTTTGTATTCTTTTTAATTATTTTGAGACAACATCTCATATATAATATTAATTCAAGAGTAATTAGAGATTCAATAATCATTGTCTCACTAATTTAAATTTAGAATATGTATACAATTATATATTATAATCACAGTATACAACAAAAACAGTGTCAATTAGTCTAGTAAAGTATTATTTGTATTAGTAACAATATGGAACACTTACTTAACTTTTAAAATTGAACTGCAGCATAAAATATAATAGTGAAAGGTAAAGTGTATTTATGGCCATCAGCATTATATTGTATTAATTATTATATAATACAATATTTTAACTTTTATAACTATTTCTTACACAAAAATCTTACGGATAAGTGCAAAAACTAAATTCTGGAACAATAGTACAGCGACGAAATTGTAAAATGCTAAAAACAAAACACACTCGAGTAAAATATCGTTAAATTTGAAGGAAAAAAACCATTATTTCCTGAGTTTTTACGCTAAAATTTTAGGATTTTTCCATTGTTGTTCCATTTCTAGTTATTGCCATTAAATTAAAAAAAATTTTCGATATGTGATGTTTAAATAAGCTGATATATCATTAAAGATAATTTTGTTATGTGTGCTACAGTTGAGTTAATTTACACAATTCTTATCGTGCAGAGTATATCAGGTATGTAATATGTAGTTTTATTATTAGAAATTCTTAATTAATTAAACGCTCATTAACGATAATCGTACTTCTATATCTCGTGCACATAATTCGAGTTGATAAAGAATGAAAGATAAAGACACTATTGTAATAAATTTTGAAATATAATCAATATCAATATGAAATCGGAGCTTAACAGTCTTGGAAATAAGTTTTTGTTCTTGTATTCATCTATACTATATATAATAAATTTTTATTTTCTACTTACCCAGTGATCCTTCCAATTACCATTCCAAAATGCAGGTGCAAATGATCGTACTGGATTTATATTACATCCGGTATAAGGACCCTAGAGAGATTGAAAAGAATAAATTATTTCAATTTCATATTTAATTATAAAAAAGAGATTATTGATTATTTTTATGTGTATTTTGTTCTTCCTTCTTTTATAAAATTATATCTTCTTTTTTTTATAAAATTATATTTATATGATAAATTTTGTTAAAATTATCAGGCTACACAGGATATATTTCTAAATATTTCTAAATAGTAATAAAAATGTAAGATAGAAGAATAATTAATGTTATATAATTAATGTTATGAAATACTTAATAATAATTTTAATAATGGAAAAACATAAGAATTGTGCGTTGTTTTAAAATATATAAAATATAATAGTTTTACCACTGTAAAAGAAAAGAAAGTGAATTAACTAAATAGCCGAATTTGAGGACGGCCGTATCCATAAAATGAGAACACCGAGGATCCCGTGTTGCACAAGTTGCTGCGCAAACTAGGAAACACGTGCAAAATATTTCAATTAATAAACCTTGCATGCTGCTAAGTTCCGGATAAACAACAGTGACATAGAGGCTGAGTTGAGTTTGATTTTCCGTTGTTGAATTCCGCCGAAAGTGTTGTCCACTGCGGGAGTACAGATAATTGATAAATATACTAATAATAACAAAATATAATAAAACAAATAATAATAAAATAATACTTTTAAAATTCCATATCCCACGATGGCATCAATTAACTGTCCCAAGATGTAAACCATACCGATCGGAATTGATTTCAGTGACAGCAAAGTGACAGTACCGATAGTGATAGTCGGGTTAAGATAAGCGCCACTTATGTGACCTATCGTCTAAGAAATATCAGTAAATGAAATTTTGAACACAAAAATACGGTAAACCAAATGTTTTAAAAAAAAATATGCTTTATAAAAATATATGTCTCATAAAATCCGATCAAGATTTAATTATATCGATATTACAAGTTATAATTTATAAGGTTAATTTGTAATTTATATAAAATAATAAATATATACATAAAGAACATACATTACGAACCAAGCGAGATGTTTATTGCTAATTGCTTATTTAAAATTTATATAAACAAAACCGCAAACATTTAGATCTTTATCAGGTCATTATCAATATAACAATAATAATTACATGATATGATGCCACAGTAAATTTAACAGTTGCAATAAACGGAAAGAAAGGTGATTTTTACAATGTTCACTCGCACGTCTTTAGACAATCCCAAATTTTTTGTAGTATAAGTTTATTGTAGCTTATTTATACAGTACCCTCTATAAGTTGGGAACACCTTACGTTTTATAGGTTTGTAAATAATTATTTAATTGAAAAAAGACAAAATAAAAGTATATACGTACATACATATGTTATCTATAACGTATGTATGTATGTACTTTTATTTCGTCCAATTCAAGATTTAATAATGCTATTAAAATGGAATTTTAATAAAATATGATTCATACAAAATCTGATTCTTCGGGAATCCATTTTACAATTTTTACGGAGTCTGAAATCAATTTGCGACTCAAATAATTTATCACTTTTATAAAAATCGTTAAACTACAATTAAATGACCTGTGTATATACAACGAACATAAATACAACGTTATAAAACAAGTGACAATATACAATATATAAACAATAGCGCGATTTAATTTTGAACACTTCGATGCTGTGAAATGATTATCCAACATATTTTCGGCATGTGCAAACTTATAGATGTTCTAGATAAATGCTTATCGTCATTGTTTATGATAATTGTTTATCATCTTACGAAGTAAGATTATTTAAACCAAAAACATATATAGATCACTGTCATGTAAGAGCTTTCCTGTAAAATGTAGGATGATTCCCAAACTTATGATAGGTAGCTTGTGAAATTCATATCGCGTATGAATGAAAAATATATATCATATTATATCATATCATATCATATGTTTTTAACATAAAGAAAATATTTATAAAATAATTTTGAAGACAATTAAGTCACATGACAACACGTACCATAATTATGAAGTTCCAATACACTGAAGGCAAGTGCCGTTTGTAGCGCCGGAGGTTTCCATAGAACTAACATTCCCCATATAACCGATATACAGGAGCATTGCTATGCCAATGATTTCCGCTGCTTACATTGTATTCTCTTGTAGTTGCCATATTCCGCCGAATAAAAATTCGTATAAGCGGATTTCGATATCTATATAAATCTCAATAATAATAATGATGAACTCATTACCTCGTTTGTGTTGCATGATGAAATCCCGCGTCTAAATTTACTATGATTATTACTTTAACAATCTGTGCAAACTATCACGAATCGCATTGCATATTACTGTTTTTCATAAGGATATAAAAAAGAATGCGATGTCTCATCACATGTTCGATAGATACATTAAGTATAATTCGTAATTAAATCACTGGTGTACTTAATGTATTTGATGTACTGTATATGAAAAATGCACGTGTCCACGATATTACATCATTTTTTTATTTTGATAAAAATATAATGGATATTTTACATTCAAATAATATTATCAAATAATCTGCTTGATACGTCAAAAACATATTTTAGTTGTATGAATCGTTCACCCTACTCACGTTCACCCTCTGAAAAGAACTCTTTATTCCTTCAGACGACATGGAAGAATAAAGCTCCGACTTGGAGAGTCCAAAGTTATCACCATCACAGCGCATGCGTTGCCGCTGAAATTGCATGCGTTTTCCTCACCATTAAAACTTTCCATAATTCTTGCAAATTGGTCGCAAATCATTGTAAAAAAACGCGAATTATGCACGCAAGCGCTCACGGTTGATTCTTGACGGCAGGTCACGCTCGTGTCCATCAGTCGTTGAAAATATTTGTACAGTTAATATATATATATATATTCTACATAAAAACGAACTAAAAATTCCTAAATCGATGTCGCTGAAAGACTTTACGCTATTTCGAAATCGTAATTATAAGGCCGACACTGAGTACGTAGTGAAAGTGGCCAAGACTTTGTTAACACCTGTGGGTATTTGGCCGCTCTACCGAGGTAACTCCAAGTCGGATAAAATTAAAAATTACCTCCAAACAGGAGTAATATTTGGATTGATGTGCTATTTGCTTGTCCCACACATCATATATACCTTTTTCGATGCAGAGGATCTGACAAGATATATGAAGGTTGTAGCCGCTCAGGTGTTCAGTCTACTTGCCATTATTAAATTCTGGACAATGATTATTAATAGAGAAGAGATCAGATACTGTCTGCAGCAAATGGAAATGCAGTATAGAAACGTGGAATGCGAGGAAGATCGATTGGTGATGATGAAGAGCGCCAAGATTGGGAGACTCTTCACGGTGACGTACTTGGGATTATCATACGGCGGCGCATTGCCTTATCATATAATTATGCCGTTGCTGGAGGATAGAATTGTCAAAGAAGACAACACGACACAAATACCTCTACCCTATCTTAGCGACTACGTTCTTTTTGTAGTGGAAGACTCGCCGTTCTATGAGATTACCTTTGTTTCGCAAATTCTGATTAGCAGCATTATCCTCTCTACGAATTGCGGTGTTTACAGCTTGATTGCTACTTGTGTGATGCACAGTTGCTGTTTGTTCGAAGTCGTGCGCAGACAGATGGAAACAGTCCTCGATGATGAAATCAATAATCTTCACAAGCGATTTGGGAGAATAATCGAGCATCATATGCAGGCTATCAAGTGAGAAAGTTTTAATTTACATCTTATATTAGTATCTCTGTAAATGTCCTCATTATATTCTGGTTAAATCATATGCAATATGCAATTATGTATTAAGACAAAGAAAGAAAAACGTGTTTTCATAATTTATATTAGTTTTATTCACTGGATTTAGATAATAAAATACGTTACAGATTTGCAGAGATGATTGAGAAATCATTAAACATTGTTTTTTTATGTGAAATGGTTGGTTGCACTATTATTATATGCTTTTTGGAATTCGGCGTTCTTAAGGTATTTCTGTTAATAGAAATTATTAGAATAAAACACAGGATGAAATTTTATAAATGTACATTTACGCAAATTTATTTCAGGAATGGGAAAACGGAAAAATCTTAAATATGGGTACATATTTTGTTTTAATGACATCAATATTTGTAAATGTTTTTATTATATCAGCTATCGGTGATCGCCTTAAAGAAGAGGTATTTTCCATAAATTTGCTTTAAATAATTTATAAAATATCTCTGTAATACATATCCATTGCAATTACAAATAAATGAAAAATTTATATAAAACTCGATTGAGATTAAATGATAAAATAACAATAACAATAATAATAATAATAATAATAATAATAAGATAAACATAATGTAATAAATTAAGTGATTGATTTTCATTTGTTTTTATTATGAAGAGCGAAAAGATAGGAGAATCGTCGTATTCTATCAAATGGTATGATTTGCCATCACAAATTGTAAAAGATTTAATTTTGGTGATGCTTAGATCAAATCGCCCGTCAACTTTGACAGCCGCAAAAATATTCGATCTCTCTCTTCAAGGATTCTGTGAGGTAATTTGCTTACAATGTTCATCTAAAAATTGATAGAAATATAACATTTGCTAGATACACTATTCGCGTTTTAGGTTTGCAAAACATCAGCGGCGTATTTTAATTTTATACGAGCGATGACTACATAAATTTTCAACTATTATTGCATCGAGTACTTATATACATATAAGAAATACTATTACTGTGACTTTATGAGAGATTACATCTCACTTCTTATATAACATCAGCGAAAAACAATCACTTCTCTGTCGAATAATAAATCATATTACTGACAATAATTTGAATAGTACATGTCATTTATTACAATTCCCATATATAACGTTTTCCACGATTTTGTTCTTTTCTGCGAAAAAAATTTATTTGAATTGTCGGTTTTCTGAGTTACGACTAACTTCCCAATTGCGTAATGCATATTCTTTGTTAAAACTTTTATTGTCATATATCATTATTTTTCCCTTTCCGAAACTTTTTCCTTTTCTCAAATTTTATAAATCGTAAGTAATAGATGCGTGTTCTACAATCATTCTAAATTGCCAAGTAGAATTTGCTTGCAAAGAGAAAACGTTTTAATAAATAACTTACCAAGATAAAATGATCTGGCGCTACTGAAAATATTATGGAGAAAAATTTCAGTGAATTTAAAACTTATATAAATATATATCTACAGATATCAACATCATCTTATCTCGTGATATCATTTAGGATTATATATATATTATATATATATTTTATAT